TGCCACAGTGAGGTTATTGGGCAAACATTTGCTGGCTATCAAGTTGATCGAAGAAGCTCTAAACCAGACATGATGGATTAGCTTCAACGTCATGTTGGGTTTGGCATGTCGTTATCATATTCCATGTTGTGAACATTATCAGAAGAACGTTCTTGGCATCATTTTCATTAAAGGGTGCATTAAAAAAAAATGCAATACTGTTTTAAATGTTTTTGAAACAGTCTCTTATGCTTACCAAGGCTGCACTTATTAGATAAAAAAAAATACAGAAAAAAAGCAATATTGTGAAGTACTATTACAATCGCAAATAATGTTTCAATATATTTTAAAACGTCATTTATTTATTTGATGGCAAAGCTGAATTTTCAGCAGCCATTACTCCAGTCTTCAATGTTACATGATCTTTCAGAAATCATTCTAATATGCTGATTTGATGCTCAAGACACATTTGTTACTATTATTATATGCTGAACACAGTTGTGCAGCTTAATATTTTTGTGGAAACCATGATGCATTTTTCCAGGAGTCTGATATAATCTGAAAATTCAAAAGGAACAAACTTTTCAACAGTAGTGTGCATATGGTAGTTTACATTATTATAATTAATGAATTGCTAGTAATTGCGAATCGATTCATTTATTAATTGGTTAATTGATGGATTTAATTTTTTTATACCTTGGAGCAGGTCAGACGCATAGGTGCGAATATATACTCAGTTTTAACTCTTTTTTTTTTTTTTTTTTTTTTAAACCAAGTTATTGTCCACTTCCTCTTTTGTAATAAATGAAATGGATGTGTCATTATATGATTTCCATCATTTCTTTGGTGAACTGGCTGCTAAAACAACAGCACATGTTAATAAACAATGCAACTGGGATCCGTCAGATTAAGTATACAGAGCTAGATGCTACATACAACTAGAAACAACACAAGGTTCGGAAAACATTCACATATTTTATCACTAGTAATTCTGGTGTTCAGGAATAATAGTATCTTATTGTATTCTCTCCTTTTGTGACTGCAGCTTATTTGCAATAAAAATGGTTTCAAATGCTCTTTCTGACTGTGAAAGATTTAAGTTCTGAAATCAAAAAAGTTTTGATCAAAAATCAAAAGACCCTCATATAAACCTTTTAATAATGAATTTGCTTACAATTTGGAGTACCATGGTTCACATTTCTTTATTAATAATTAGTCCTTAAAAAACAATTGTATGGAGATTATGTAACAGGGTTTGTGGCTTTATTAAAACAGAAGTGAAAGGTGGTTCAACTATAATCATAAAATCATTGAGCGCCAGCCCCTAAAACAATGATATGAATTTATCAGTTCCTTCCGTTGTGTGATTTTGAAGGAAATGACTTGCCAAAGCATTAGCTGCAAGTCTAAACAAACTGTTTGGACTGAGACAAAAACCTGCAATTAGGTGATAATAGTGTTTGCAGAAATTCCTGCTAGCACGTTGGAGAAAAGCTTTGCTTGCTTTCCTGTCTGGCAAGCATGTCTATTATAGGTTAAAATTGTTTAATTTTGCTGAAGTCGAGAGTAATTGTTGTACAAATGCCCAATCATTGGACATAAATGTTATCCGAACATGATACACAGCAAGTTGAGTTTCTGATATGAGCTTTGCACAGGGAGAGAGCCCGTATATGGAGTTTTGATCAGTACAATGATTACCCCAAAAAAGACCAATTTTTATAGTAGATATGTCAGATAGCTCTGAACAACCAAAATAGCTAATTGAAATAGTCACGCTATACTTAATGCATTTATACTTTATAATATAGAAGCATGTTTCTGCCAAGTAATAAAAAAGGTCATTGTAACTTTTTATCTCACTATTTGGACTTTTTTTTCCGCAATTCTGCAAAAAATCTAAATTGCGACATATAGGCCTAAACTATTGGCCTAAACTCTGAATTCTGATTCTGTTTTTCACAACTCACAGTTTATAGAATTGTGACTTTTTCCCTCAACTTTTTTTCTCTGAATTCTGAGTTTACATTTTGCAATTCTGCGATTTTGTAACTGAGGAGGAGCGAATGTAATTTGTGCCTAATGGATGGAGCTAGAATATCCAACCACACCCTAACCATACCCACAACTCTATCCCTCCACCCCATTAGACGTCCAGAGAGGAGGCCCTGATAGCACACGTACATCACAGAGACTTCTTTTTGACTTCTGCATGTACATCTGCAAGATGTATTTTTTAGAGTGTTTGCTCATCTGCAAAACGTCTATAGGACGTTTCCTGTCAGAAGTCAAATAGACGTTTAGAAAATGTCTTTAAGATGTTTATGATTTAGAATGTATATGAAACTGACATCTGAAAGACATCTATCAGATGTTTGTACACAGCAGATGCTTTCCAGATGAAGCGATCTTTAACAGACATCTTGCAGACGTATGTGCACTACCTGGGTCATAAATTATATCAGGAGAACAGACCACAAATGTTCAGTATGTTGTCCTTTTTCATGCTATTACAGTGCTATGCAAAGAAAAGAAAAAAGAAAATAATCATGAGGAAAAGAATGCAGCTGTCACAATCTGTGATGGTGAGGAACGAGGAATAAATTAAACAGTCTTTAATCCATGGACCACAGGGTACATCGACACTGGAGACAGCAAGAAACACATCAATGTACTGAGTAGAGCCAACGGAGACAGACTGCACAGACTAGGACTTAAATACAGGGGATGATTGGGGAAACACAGGTGTATGGGATGACTAATCAAACTAATAACAAAACGAGGACAGGAACGTGACCAAATCAGGGAACAGAAACAGGGGCAAAACATGACACAGACAGTCCATCATCCTGACAGCAGTGACAATGGATCTTGCCATAGATATTCTTGTTATAATATGTCATGTTAAAATACCATGAGTTAGTTTATTCTCATTATATCTGAAAATAAATCATGAAGGAAAATCGACAGCTCATTCAGTCAAATAGACGGATAAGCTTTATTTGTAGGGCAACCTTAAGGTTTAAAACAGTGTTTCTCAACCCTGGTCCTGAGCGCCCCCCAACACTGCACATTTTGTTTGACTCCCTTATCTGACACCCATTTCAGGTCCTGGAGTTTCTTTTAATGAGCTAATGAGTTGAATCAGGTGTTCGATTAGGGAGACACACAAAATGTGCAGTGCTGGGGGGGGCGCCTAGGACCAGGGTTGAGAAACACTGGTTTAAAATGATTAGTTTTAGTTTTTTTGAATGGAAGTTCCCCAAACCAGAAGTGCCACCCATAATTCAAAAAGCAGTAGGCTCGTCAAGAATAAGGTGGATAATAAGATCGCAAGTTCAGCAATGAAAGTGACTTAAGCATACAAACCCTTCGCCTACCAACTGCTCTGTGTTTGTCCAATCCATGAACATTGCCACTGGCCACGTTTGCATTATTTAGCATAGCATTATTGAATAATAACATTTATTCCTCACTATATATACAGTATCTGGAAACAAACAAAAAACGTTTAAACATTGCTGTAGCGTGACGCTCCTATTATCACACTATATTTCATAAAAAATAGATTGTATGGGGATGTTATGAAAGTCACATGCAGGCCATATGCTACCCAGATTACATAAATGCTTCATAGCATTGCTTGTTTTATTGATGACTCATTTATTGTAGCATGACAACTTGCTGTATGGTTTAATTCTGATGAAAACAGCATTCTTTAGTTTACAGTAAATGCCGTAAGTCAGGTAGTTTGGTCGATCATTACAAAAAAGACATTTACAGTGTAAGTTTAGACAAATGCAATGCTCTTCTGGTGAAATGTAATTATGTAATTTTAGTAAAACACTAAATTATAGTTGGGAGCATTTTATTTATTGAGGGTGTTTATGAAAACAACAAAACTCCACCATAAATTTTACATAAATCTTACTGTTGTAACAACAACAGCTCATATTGTTTCGCCATTATATATATATCAAAAATTTCTCAAGCTACCTTTGATTGGGATTGGCTTCTTTTTTTCATTGCATCTTTTTTTTTTTTTTTTTTTTTTTTTTTTTCTTGTGCAATTTTTTTTTTTTGACTGTGCAATGTTCTAGCAGATCTGTGTAATTGAGAGTTTGTTTAGTTGTCTCCAAAAGAGACAATACTGTGTCCAAATTTTCCATTATCATTCCTCAGAAAGAACATTTGAATATGTTTTTTTTTTATACTTTAATGACTCTGGGGAATGTACTGTATGAATACACAGAAAGCATATGCCTAATTATTTCTACTTATTTTTATGAGTTAAATGCAAATAATGAAAATACTGCATTTCAGAAAAGACCTTCAAAAAATCCAGTGGAAAGCAAATTATGATACTATTTTAAAAATACAGTTTGCTAATGCATTGTTTATGAATGTATGTATTTGGAGATTAGTTGTATAAACACACCATTTTTTTAAGTTTACTGTCATTATGCTTACATGAATTTGTCAATTTGTTGTACTGACATTCTAAATACATTATCCTCTTTTATATTTATCATAAGGTATATAATAGAGTTACTTCCATCTGTTCCAGTTTAGACTGCGACAGGTCTTGGTCTTTCTAATTATGATTGTGGCCATCCAAAAAAAGTTATACTTGTGTTTAGTAGATAGCTAGTAGTAATTATGGTTAGACTGACTTTGTTAGATGATCATAGTTCATGTATGTTTAAAACAACTACTTACAAGAAGGTGGTTTAATGTAAGCGTAACTAATATTCAACATTTGTTGTATAAATTTACTTTACAAAACAGCTTTTTGTGTTTCTATAGTAATAACTGGTTTAATTGTCTGTTGATAAGCATAGATATTTATCTAAAATGCTATGTACTGATGTTTCAAGTGTTTTGGCAAGTTTAAAATTTCCTCTCTTGTGTTGATTATCTCCAGAGCTCTCTAAGCTCTGAATGTAATTGCAAGCCAGGACTTGATTGGCTCTTGAGTTGTTGGCTTTGGGCCAGCAGACTTTCTCCATATAATAGCGGGAAGCAGGACGACAGCTTCTAAAAGAGAGAGCAGACAACAACTCATTTGGTGTGGTGGAATAACTCTACAAACCTAAAGTGAACAGATCAGAAAATGTGTAAAGGATTAGCTGCCCTGCCCCAGACATGCCTGGAAAGGTAAGTTCTTTAAAACATTTTAGCAGCACCGTGTATTAACTTAAAATTCACTCCCTCACTCACTCGCAGCCTCCTTTGGGAAACAGTGCTTGTGTATTTTGCAATATCTGTGTATTCTGGAGCAGCTGGGAATTCTCAAAATACCATTTTGAGAAAGTCTGTATGGTTTTTTGTATGAGGTTTAGGTAGTGAGTATTGATCACTGTATATAGGAAAACTTTATTCATTATTTGGCCTCAGAGATGTCTTTTGGTTAAATAATTTCAATTATTCAATATAAATTTTATAGAATCTGAAGGATTGTAAATTTTGTATTGTACATATGTATCGTATGGTATATTTTAAGTTTATCTTATTTTCCACTTCTTTTAGTTTTTTTTTTTTTCTTCTTCTTCTTCTTCTTAGTTTTGTCTCTGAAAACATCAAGGTTCCCCAATGTTACCAAAAACCAGTACACTCTCAACTTTGTTTAGTTCTCTGTTCATAACAAGATTTGGAGCAGAATTCCTGAGAACAGACTAGCATAGAAGTATAGCAATGAGGACTTCTATTGTGACTATTGGGCCATACTCTGATTAAACAATTTGTGCTATTGACTCATTGTGTAAACATATGTTTATCACTGTTCTTGGCGTTGGTCTTAATGTCTGGCCCGGGGCCTGGAGTACTTCTGAAAAGTCTATTTGTACATCAGGAAGACGTATTAAGATGGCAACATGAGGTGGTTTATAATGTTGCATTAGATAATTGAGCCATAAAATCAGAATTTTAATAAATGGGCTTTTTAAGCTGAGAAATGTGTGCATTGATGTCAGTATTTTTGGAACAGTAGATATGTCTGTGGCAGCAAGATGTTCACGAAACCTCAACAAATCACCAAGTTTGTTGACGTCACTTCATCCACAGTCATCTGGGAGGAATATGTTTTTCTTTTTTGTCACAAAACATACAAAAAGGATATTGCATCTGTTTTTATCTCTACAGGGAGTGTGAAACAGTCCTGAATAGGTGTGAATTGAACACCTTCAACACGTGTTGTTTTATTGTGTCATCTGTCAAACTGTAGTAATTACTGTACTGATGACAGCTGTACAGGTCAATAATAAGCAGTGAAGAAAAGGTTTCTATAGCTGACGTGCAAAAGGATAAAAACTACATGGAACAAATTATCATTCTCTGTAAAAACAATATGTGTATTTTGACAGAAGAAAATAGATGACGCTAGGCTGATATTTTATAATCTGTTGACAGGTATGTTGTACATTTTAGAAATGTCCTCAACATTTGACTTGAAATTCCATTCATATATAACACGAATCCTTTATTGGTGTATGCTAAACACGCTAATGGACATCTGTATGTGTTTGTATTTGTGCTGTCTTCAGGGCTAAGGAGATCAAGACTAAATTGGGAACTCTGCTTCAGAAGCCAGAGAATTCCATCGACCTTATTATCCCCTACCAAGAAAAGCCTGAGAAGAAACCAGAGAAGCTTCAGAAGTGAGTTCCTGTTGGCTCTGTTCACTTTCCTTCTAATGTTTTCTCTTCCTCTCTCTTTTTCTTTTCCTTACTAATGGGGACTTCAGCTCTTCAGTCTCTTCTCATACCTCTCATACTCATTTAGACCAAAAAGTCTGTGTATACAAAGAGCCCATTTAAACATAAGTCACCATTAGTTTAAATACTTTTTTTTTTTTATTAAAATAAAACTGAAATGACCATTCGAAATATTCTGTTTGCACTTAAAGGTGGAAATTTCAGGATGATTGTTGTATGTTTTCAGGTGGAAATCATCCACTTAAAATGGGGGAAATCATCAACCATGATGTTTAAACGTGGAAATCGTTTCAGGGGGGTTTTGGGGGGTTTTCAGATGGAAATCATCCACTATGATGTTTAAAGGAGGAAATCATCTAAGAAAGATTGTTTGATGGTTTTTAAACAGTCATCCTGGGATGCTTTGCACCTCTGAGTGCAAACAGAACATTTCGAAAGCTTAGCTCAGCTCTAATTTGAATTGTGTTTCAAGGGTCTCCAAATTGTTAACCACTGGTGCTCACTGGACAAAGAGGTAAATCCAAGGTACTCATGTTGTGAGGATAAAAAAAAGGCATATGTTCCACAGGCCATAGAGCATCTTAATGTTGTTTGCCAAGCACACATTTCAAGCCTTCTTCAGGGTGCTACTATAGTCCCTGCAATATATTTTGTCTTTTTTTATAGTTTCTGCTGTACACCGTTTTACTCACAAATATAAATCTTAGATAGATAATAGAAAAAGAGTGTTTTTTATGTAATATATATATATATATATATATATATTCTTAAATACATGAAACTAAAACAATCACTATAAAAGTAATGTTTTGCCCTTATATTAGCCAATATTTATTTTCAGTAACTTATAATAATAGTGACATTAACAATAATAACCAAAATGCCATATTTCTAAATAGGGGTGGTGCTATGTGGTTTGAAATGCTTGTATACTTATGTCGTGCGTTAAATTCATATGGATCAAGTGCTGGTTATCACTTCAATAGAGCGGCGAAAGCATTGTGCCAAAATCACCGGTCCGGTCCGGTCCAGCTGTTCTCTTGCACTGCAAGGTTTAATCAGATAACACCTTTTCATCACATGGTTTTTGGTGTTTGTTTCCCATGCGCTCCAGTAAAGCTGAGGTGATTAAAAATACCTGCAACTTTAGTTTTAACCAGTGCAAAGATATTGCATCGCTCATAACTTTTTGAGAGAAATAGCACAGACACTGGACAAGGATGAATAATATGAGTGGGCGGGTGGGGTTTCGGCGATTGGCCCACTGGGAAAGTACAGGAGCTGCCATCGGCCAATCAATCTAGGCCTATTTTTTTTTATCTCCTCCACAACCAGTCAGGGGCACCTTCATTGCTCGATCCCTGGGGCTTCAGCCCCATAGTTTGTATGTTAGTCTGGCCCTATTTGTGGATAACTATTTTTAAGTATTATACTGTAGAAAATGATGAGGTTCTAACTTGGAAAGCTACAGCAAAGAAGCAAAGTTCAGTGTGAATTCATAAAAAAAGCATGAGAATAGAGCACACTAACTACCTATTCATCTATTAATGCCCATAATTATACAGATTATCAGACGTAACTAAAAGGTTGAGGTGTGGAGAAAAGGGCTGAACAGTGGAGAGCAAGGGAGTCAGAGAGAAAAAAATGAAGAAGGCCATATTAGTACATCCTGTGATGGAAAACTGAAAAGAGTCTGTTTATAATGAAAATTGTGTCCAAATTGACCGTAAAAACATTTGCAGACCACTTCAGCTCCATTTTACTTATGTAATGCCTTATGTAAGTGTTGATAATGGGTTGTAATTTTCAAGCAGAAAAAAATAATAATAAATATCCTAATCATGCAGGATAAGACATGTGAATAGAAAATACATCAGTAATCAAGTTAGACTGAAAGACATGTTTATGAACTGGACCAGGCACGTGCACACATAGACATCAAAGGGGGCTTGAGCACCTGCCCTTTTTCTTCCTCGAGAGAAAGTGTCCTTTTTTCTGGGGAGTTTTTTTTTTTTTTAAATAAATGAATATATGTATTATGTGTGCGTGTTTCTGTTTGCGCACAGCTTTCCCTGTCAAACAAATAAAAAATCTAAATATTAGGCCGGGTCGGGAAATGTTGAGACTCTGTCGAGTTCCAGTTCCGATGCCTTTCTCCCCTTTGCGTCTCCGTGCACGGCGCGCAGCACAGCATTATAAGAGTATTGCACACATTGATCGGCACATCACACACAGACAGGCAGAGAGCCGCAGAAGTGAAGCCCTCCCTCCCTTTCAAGTTGTGTTTGTTTTGGTGTGGAGGTGAGTGGTGATGAACAAAAGACCTGTGCCTCCATTTTACAGCTAATTATTCAAAAGACAAAAGGCAAATAAAGTTCATTTGTCTTGCTAACATCTATGACTCATGAGCGACCATGTAATAAGTTAGCTAAAGTTTAGCTAAGGCAATATATCATGGGTATACAGGCTAACTTAATGGAGAAACGACAGCTGAATACAGTAAAATCAATAACGTCATTAGAATCACCACATTGATATGCAAATTATTAAGTAATTATAATGTGCTAATTTGCATACATTTGACACAAGGCATTGCAGATGAATAAACAAATTAACTAAAGCATATCACCACAAAACTATTATGCTCTTATACAAAGTCTTGATTTTGTTTTGGGGGTGTACTAGAACAGGCTCTCATACTAGGTTGTTCGAAAAACAAAAACAAAAAGTTTGTCTGTATATATTGCTAATAATGCCCTTTTCTTTCTGTGTAAGTACCATATTTCTTAATCACATGTAATTTTACATGTAATGTAAATATTATACCATTGACTGTGTTTGGAAACTTGTTGGCCATATACAAAGAGGAAAATACTAAGTGAAGGAATCTGCTTGTTTTGTTCAGACCCACACCTGAAGAAGCAGCCCAGTGGCGTGAGTCCCTTGACAAGTTCCTTTCCAACAGCTGTAAGTATGATGTTTATCTTAAAATTGCAAGGTTGTCACTGCTCTTCTCCGTGGGATGAATCTGATTGCAAGAAGAAAGTCCTATAAGATAAAGATATTTAAAACTTCTGTAGTCTGAGCAAGTAGCATATGTGCTGCTATATTAAGCAGACCTTATTTTCTCAGTTTACGAACACGCAAAGACGAATGAGGTAAACCTGAAATATCCCACCAAATCGAACTTGACTGCTCAAAATATAAATTGTCATTGTTGGCTTAAGGCTCGTTCACACCAAGGACGATAACTAGTAGAGTCCATAACAGCAGAGTCCTATAATGATAACTGCACAGAAGAATAATATTGCTGGAATCATTTTCAGAATGACTTTGTTCAGCGGATGAACAATAAAAACATTGACAGCCAATGAGAATCCACTCGACTTTAAGGAGTTTGAGCATTTAAAGTGGCAGACATGCAGCACATGCTTATAAGAAACAGAATGTTATCATCCAATGGTGTGAACGCTAATATAGTTATCATTATGGTTATTGTACTTGGTGTAAATAGGCCTTTGCTGTAATGAAGTTTGAACAACGATTACTTCTGTAGTGCAACTTTAAAGTGTAACTTTAACTTTTCATTATTTATCATTGTAAAACTCATTTCTGACCATCTGACTCACTGTTGGTTTTTCACAAAAAAACAAACACAAGCAAACCTGTAAATAAACAAAATGTCAAAATAAGATCCTTTGTCTGCACAGAAGGGCTGAATTAGTCAATTATAGTTTGGAAAATAAATCTTTGTTATTCATTCAATTATTTGTTTCAAGGCCAGTTTGTCATGTTTAATTATAGCATTTTGCCATGGAAAATGTGTTCATTTTATTTTAGAGTGGATTGTTTGCAGATTAGCCTAATCAGTCCGAACTGCATTATATAGATATATTTATTTATATTTATATTTATTTTTTATTCAAATATAAGAGCATTTCTTTTGTGTTGAACCTAAAACGCCATTCCCACCATTCCCATATAAATAATTGCAAGTCTTAAAATAAATCTGCATTGGATAGTCAGTAATTACATTGGTTGATCCACAGAGGTGAATCATGTACTTGAATACCACATGCTGTTATACAACATGGACTCGTGAGGGATTGCATTAAGGGCTGTGTGCCCTAGGCGTGCACGGCGGTAATGTTTGGATAAGGATGTTAAGAGCTGGTGAGACCGGGTTCTCTGGTGGCAGCGTGTCGCCAACACATTAGCACAAAAAGAACACACACAGCTGTACTCACTCTAATAGCTTTTCCACATTTTTAATTCCATAGATGGCCTGGCCACCTGCCCTAGGCGTGCATGGCGGTAATGTTTGGATAAGGATGTTAAGAGCTGGTGGGACCGGGGTCTCCGGTGGCAGCTTGTCGCCAACACAATAGCACAAAAAGAACACACAGAGCTGTACTCACTCTAATAGCTTTTCCACATTTTTAATTCCATAGACAGCCTGGCCACCTTCAAAAGCTTCCTCAGATCTGAGTTCAGCGAGGAAAATATTGAGTTCTGGGAGGCTTGCGAGGACTTCAAAAAGACCAAGTCCCCCCTGAAAATGGCCATCAAAGCAAACAAGATTTATGAGGACTTCATTCAGACCGGTGGGCCCAAAGAGGTTTGTTTGTTTTGCCATTGTTTTTTTTTTTGTGCTAATCACACTCAGATTTACAGTTCAGATAAAAAAGTGCAGTGCTTCAGAAATAGAAGGAAGCAGCTCTCCATCAGACTCGTTATTCATCTCCTGTGAAAATATGTTTCGTATCAGTTGTTTAGATCACTGTATAAACGCTGAGGCCAATGTTCTCCCCCCAAGGAGCTACTGTATAAAAAATGTCCCCAAGGAGCTACTGTATAAAAACTTGAAAGTGCCGTTAAGGTACCGCTCCTTCAAGTTATTTTTTTAGGTTAGCATAAGCTTGTGTTCTGCATCTGAAATATATAATTTAGGCATATTGTTTTATCTACATGATTGTTGGTTACTCATATTTGATATTTAAGCATCTTGAGCTCGATATAACCTAATGAAAATGCTGTTGTCCACTCAGGTATTAGTAAGGTAATTTAATGTATAATTTTTCTAATAGCCAAAAAAGTTGTAGGTTCTAACCCTGTGCCACTAAAACCCACATTTAAACTCATGCTGTCCTTTTGTTTAAAGGTTAAAAAATATTTCAGTAAATTATCATGTTATTTAAAAAAAAAAATATTTGTATCAGGATGTTTGCACAGCCGTGTGCTGAGGTTTAAATTACCTGTTATGTAACAGCCATTAGACAACATACCAAATTTTGATAAATGTAACAATAGCCATTTGTTTCTTAGTGACCATAACGATTTTTAAAATCAATGAAATGCAAACAGTGTCTCATTGCCATTTTAAATATAACTTTTTCTAATTCTGTGATTGTTTCCGCATCAATATTTTGTACTGATATTTTTTTAGTTCTGTTCTTTCATTATTATGATCAAACACTTTGATTGTGCATATTACAATAAAACAAAACTAAATCTAAATACATTTAAACATAAAACAATTATTTAAAAAAAATAAATGGGTAAGACACATTCAAAACAAATGGAAACAAATGGTTGCTGCTTACAAAAATTTAATAATTAACAAGTCAACGACTTTTGAGGCATTTCTCTATATCAGATTATGTAAGGAAACTGATATGGTCAACATGATGGTCAGGAAGAAAATAAAAATGAATACAATTCTCTAATCCAGCCTGTATTCGTAAAAACTGCAGGGAATCAGTCAAATTGTCTGAATTTGTTCCAGAAGACAGATTGCTCCACAGCCCTCCTAGAGTGCTGAGACACTGTCAAAGTTGAAATAATGTGTTTCTTACTCATTATTTTTGTCCAATTTTAAGCATTTTGTGACTGACTTTTACACACTTCCTCCTTATCCCCAATATCATGCTTTTAGGTGAACATCGACCACTTCACCAAAGATGTGACTCTGAGGAACCTGGTGGATCTTTCTCCCTCCTCTTTCGAGCTGGCTCAGAGCCGGATCTACACCCTGATGGAGAAAGACTCCTTCGGTCGGTTCCTGCGGTCTGAGCAGTACCAGGAACTCCTCAAGTAAACCGACTTGTCCAGCTGCAGGGAGACTCAGTCCTTTGGTCACAAATTCATATCATTTTACTCAAACTAAAAGTCTTTAATACACATTTCTGACACACTTCTAAAACTCATTAAACGATACCACAGTTTTTTATTTGGTAAAAGTGGAAAACACCAGGCACAGTTGCAATGTCCCCCTGCAGCTGACTGAACTGGTCCACTGCTAACAAAAACATCTTAACATAAATTGTTAAAATTAATGTGATTCCTGCCCAGTGCTCTGAATGTCAAAGTCAAGAACTTTAATAAAAGAAGTTGATTAGGGCTTAAGAGACAGTATGCATTGTTCCTTATAAAAGTGTGATTTGTCATTAACAATCATTTAATTTGTACAAGTGCAAAATGCCAAGGATTTGAAGCGCCTCTTAAAATCTTGTATATATAATGTCCTATTAATTGGAGTCACACTCTGATCCCTGTAGACTAAATAAAGACTTAAACTGATCCCCGCTTGTCATTTATGGCTTTTCGGATAAGTGCAGAAGTGGTACATGTACTTTTGATGAGGACGTTCTGACCCAAGCATCTAAGTTCATCTTAGATGTTCATCAAGGGGAAGAGGCTGGGGAATGGGAATGGGAGAGTGTGGGCTTTTTCTTAGAAATGTCTGTGTTAACATTAAAATGCCCAAATGGTAAACCAATGGAAATCATGGGGAAATGACCCACTTTGTATTGAAAGCTTCACTATAAGTCAAAGCTAAAAAAAAAAGTGTGACATGTTAAGATGCACTCCAGTCTCTGGGAACTTGTTGTTTGGGTTACCGTTGTTGAAAGTTGCTAAGATGGGAATTTCAAGTAGGAGGGAATCTCTATAAAGCACTGGGCACATAATTTTTTATTCTAAAAGAAATGTTTATTCCCATGCCACTTTAAAAGCAGAAAACATTTAGATTAAGTCATGGAAACCCTAAACATCCAAGTGTTTTTTTTTTTTCGACTTTCTACAGCAACCATTTATCACAATAACATAAATATATACACACTGTAATACCTATAAACTATTATACTCTAAACAAGAATTATTACTGCAAAATGTTATTGAAGTTAGCATCTATTATTTGCCCTTAGCATGTGCAGACAGTCGTGAGTTGTAAGTCAAGTTATTGCAGATAGAACGGCATATCAAACATATGTAACCCACAAGTGTGATATTCAGTGTCCTTTTGCATGTTTTTATTTAAAGTGTGTTTCACAGACACATATACTCTTGCATGTTTATTTATTATACTGTGTGTAGCTATGTCACTAAATCTAATAACATTCATTCATATTATGAGCAGTGGTAGATGCCTCCAGAAGTCCTTACTGATGTTCCAAAAGCAAATTATTAGTTCACTGCAGGACAGGTTTAGTTTCATGTGGTCATCAATAACTGGGCATCACCAACTAAATTCAAGATAAATTGAACTAATCCCAAAAGAATTTTAAGAGCAGTAACAGCTCTTTTAGTTAATTAAAAAATATACATATTTTAAAATTATGATTTTTTTTTGGCTAAAAATTGTCAGTAAGGACTGACAGAGTACCTTGCTTATACAAGAAATCTGCATAAAACTATATGCATGTATGTTTGTAGTTGATCATATAAAATCCATAATCACATTAAAGTTCTGAAGATTATTTGTATTCGATGTACATATCAGCCTTTTACAAATGACTTTAATTTATTATCTTTAAGATTGCTTGTCTGTTTGTTTGAATTTTAAGAGCAGTAACAGCTCTTTTAGTCAATTAAAAAATATACATATTTTAAAATTATGATTTTTTTTGGGGCTAAAAATTGTCAGTAAGGACTGACAGAGTACCTTGCTTATACAAGAAATCTGCATAAAACTATATGCATGTATGTTTGTAGTTGATCATATAAAATCCATAATCACATTAAAGTTCTGAAGATTATTTGTATTCGATGTACATATCAGCCTTTTACAAATGACTTTAATTTATTATCTTTAAGATTGCTTGTCTGTTTGTTTGATCTTCAAGGTAAAAATGACTAAGATAAGATTGTGTCCTTTCTGTTATTTCTAAAAAAATATGAGGCCTGATTTTGTCCTTTTCTTTACCAAGCAAGGCTAGTAAATCAGCAAAAGTAAATCAGACACTTAAAAGTTAAGCTTTGTTTTCCTCCTCTCTGTATTATAGTTGTTCTGAATCATCGTGGAATTACTCAGCGTTGTTTAATGGTACTCCATTTTGGCAAGCATGGAATTTCAGTAATATCTGTATTCCCAAGAGAACGTTGTTAAAATGCCAAATTTGAATAATAATGGAACTGCTTCCTGACTTCCTGTACTGCAAGCTCTCTCATCCATTTCCTTTAGCCACTCGACCAGAGTATTTTATTCACACAACCGTGATAAGATATATCCACTCAATGTGTGAAGAATAGAAAGATATAACAACTAGTAAATCAGCAAAAGTAAATCAAACACTTAAAAGTTAAGCTTTGTTTTCCTCCTCTCTGTATTATAGTTGTTCTATAATCATCATGGAATTACTCAGCGTTGTTTAATGGTACTCCATTTTGGCAAGCATGGAATTTCAGTAATATCTGTATTCCCAAGAGAACGTTGTTAAAATGCCAAATTTGAATAATAATGGAACTGCTTCCTGACTTCCTGTACTGCAAGCTCTCTCATCCATTTCCTTTAGCCACTCGACCAGAGTATTTTATTCACACAACCGTGATAAGATATATCCACTCAATGTGTGAAGAATAGAAAGATATAACAAGAAAGACAGAGGAAGAGAGAGGTGGAAAATTGAGATGAAGCAGATGGGCGATGGGAGGTTGCCAAAATAAACAATGTCAGACGCAAACATGTTCACATTCATTACCACTCTCATTCCTAGAAATAGGCGTAGACTCGTGACTGTGGCTTAAACCCCTTGTGTACTGGTGGAACCGAAAGACATTTCTTGAGTTGCATCAAAAAGGCACCCTTTTCATAAATGCCAAACAAAAGAGCATCTCCATTTTGCTTTGTCAATGTCCAGACTGTAGGTCAGGATCATCAAAACTGTTCTTTATTAAATTGTTTTTGTTCTGCTGCTTTTATCAAAGACATACAAGAACATAACTAATTTCATTTAAACAGCAAATGCACACATCCAATTAATCTCGGCTGAAACAAGGTTAAACCCTTTTGAACATTCTATTATAAGCTGACTCATTACTCTTTCACTGTCACTTCTCTGATGAATAAAACATGAATAAAAAATTAATAATTAAAAAAATACTTACTGATTCCAAAGTTTTACACAGCTGTAGTGTATGAATCAGTCAAATGACCTAAGAACATTTTCTTCAGAAAATGTGCAAATACTTTCATCTTCATTTTTAACAATATACTGTTTTATCATTTAAATTAACTTTTTATTGTAAAATGTTTTGTTTGAAAAGTGTTTGTGCTATGCCTCTTTAAAAAAAATAAATGCCACAGGGTTTGAAATTTTGTTATAATGCAAATAAATTCATACATTATGTGTTCAAATACTTTTTATGGCCACTGTACATCTGTATATCCGTTCACAAATAGCCTGTCAGTTCACATGCCAAATTTATTTTTATGACAGTCCTCATTCGACACAATTGCCTCAGTGCTGAAACGATGTACAACAGTCATACCATACCAAGGCCAAACAATATTAAATCTTATCCAGGTATTAACACCAGACTTACGACAGCTCGAGCTGAAGCTATAACATCGCACAAGAGTGTGAGAGTGTGTGTGTGTGTGGAACAGGATACTAATCATGCCCTTATGGCACAATAATGCTGTTCCTGCTATTTGCGCATGCACACAAATGGAAACAAATGTGGCTCGTACACACAAAAACAAAACCAGAAACCAGATAACGACTGTGCAGGGCTCAGATGGAAGGAGAGATAATGCTCTCTAAATACTCACTTCATATGGTCATTTGTGTAGTAAAACCAGACCGCTCTCATTAAAGATACAGCTGTGAATTTGCTGTGTTTTTGATGGCTACCAAGATTTACATAGGTGAATGTAAATTCTAGGAAATCTAAATAATGAACTGTTAAGTTTGGTTTATAAAACTGTTTTTTTTTTTTTCTTTTAACAAACACCCAAAAATACCAAAACAACGTTATTATATTGATACAGCTATGTCCTTAATGCATTTCATACACTCTCAGAAAAAAAGTACAACACTGTCTCTTAGGTAAGGTAAGGTAACTTATAACTTGCAGGTAACTGGTATATATAAGTAACTTAAAGTTACATATAGTACTTTAAAGCAATGGTACGGGGTTTTTTTTTACCTTGAAATATCAGTTTCAAAATCTTTCTCATGGTTCACTGACGTCTTTTTTGGGACGCTGCATCCGAAATCGCATAGTTCCCCACAATATAGTATAATAATTCATAGTATTTTGAAAAACAGTAGGCGGCAAGTCTACCTGGATGACCAAGATTTACATAGGTGAATGTACATTCTAGGAAATCTAAATAATGAACTGTTAAGTTTGGTTTATAAAACTGTTTTTTTTTTTCTTTTAACAAACACCCAAAAATACCAAAACAACGTTATTATATTGATACAGCTATGTCCTTAATGCATTTCATACACTCTCAGAAAAAAAGTACAACACTGTCTCTTAGGTAAGGTAAGGTAACTTATAACTTGCAGGTAACTGGTATATATAAGTAACTTAAAGTTACATATAGTACTTTAAAGCAATGGTACGGGGTTTTTTTTTACCTTGAAATATCAGTTTCAAAATCTTTCTCATGGTTCACTGACGTCTTTTTTGGGACGCTGCATCCGAAATCGCATAGTTCCCCACAATATAGTATAATAATTCATAGTATTTTGAAAAACAGTAGGCGGCAAGTCTACCTGGATGACCTACTGTTCTACTTCAGGCGTGATTCTGAAGTGCGCATACGATGGACACTTTACTGTCCCATGAAGCCACGGGAGAGAAGTTATCAAATGGCAGTGAAGTGACGCAACGGACACTGGTAGGTCGTGACAGTAGCAACACGGCGGATGTAGTAAATTCTAATTCAAATACAGTATACTCAGACAGTACGCGATTTCGGATGCACCGCATGTTTGATTAGGAGTACAAATTTCCAGTTTAAAGGGTGGATTGCTTTACGTCAACAACAAATGCAGTAATTTCGACAGTGGTATATTTACGACAGTGAATTCCACTCACTTAACTGTAGGGGGCTCTAAAGTCGCAGAAATACACAAAACTATTAGTTGCTTTAAAAGTATATTAGTACTTTAAGTGTATAAGTGTCCCTTTTGAAATGATACTTTCTATGAAGTAGTTGTGAGTCTGAAATTGCACATTTATTCCCTCTTATTGTGGCAAATTATGGGTTTTGGGCATCACCATGAATTATATAAGGGGTTGGGGCAATTTCTAGGGAAGCCTGTTTCTGCCAGAATTCAAAAATAATAATTAAGGTAATAGCGACCTTCTATCTCACAATTTAGACTTTTTTTCTTGCAATTCTGACATTTTTGTCTTAGATATAAATTCAGAATGGCAAATTATACACCAAGAATAACAATATATGACTGTTTCTCTTGCAAATTCACAGCTTGCAATTCCGAGTTAACATCTTGCGAGTTTATATCACACAGTTCTGAGAAGAAGAAAAAAGTCTAAATTGTGAGATAAAAAAATCGCAACAGCTTTTGACTTCATTTAAATACCCTTGGGAAGCACTAGACTAGCACCTGGTTAAACTAGACTAGACTAGAGGTGTTCAGTCAGTGCACTGAAAACAAACTCGGTTAATTCGGCCTCTAATGTTTCCTGATAAATAGATATTCAGATGCAGAATACAAATATGGCCTATATTCTTCTTTGGTTCAAGCAAGTTCATTGCTGTTCTGTGTGTGTCTGCCATTTGAAAAGCTGCCCACTTCAATAACAATGATAAAACAGGCACTCCAGCACCTGAAGCGCCAGAGCAGAGTGTAATTACATCAAGCCCTGTGCTGAGCCATAATGAGCAGCCTGCTGTCCTGCAGCAAGATCCTGCTGCGAAACAGAGAACACAAAACAGAGAACAGAGAGAGAGAAAGAGATAAATCGGTCAAGAAAAACAGCCTGTTCTCTGCTTTACCAGATGCTCATTTGCTCCTCTGTAACTGCAGGCAAAGGCAAAACATGTCAAGTCAGTGTAGACGAGGGGTGCTGAGAAGTCACACGTTCCTTTTGGGAATCTAAAACAGCTATGCAGATGGTTATTGAATTGTTTTTGTAGGTTGTTTTGTAGGCAAATGTGAGCACATAATATGGCTTGAATAACTTTGTAAAATGTTTACCTATTATATTCAAAGCTGGATTGTCAAAATAACTGTGATTGTGATGGTAATGGCAACCTCCATAATGACTTTCTTATATTGATACAGCTATGTCCTTAATGCATTTCATACACTCTCAGAAAAAAAGTACAACACTGTCTCTTAGGTAAGGTAAGGTAACTTATAACTTGCAGGTAACTGGTATATATAAGTAACTTAAAGTTACATATAGTACTTTAAAGCAATGGTACGGGGGTTTTTTTTACCTTGAAATATCAGTTTCAAAATCTTTCTCATGGTTCACTGACGTCTTTTTTGGGACGCTGCATCCGAAATCGCATAGTTCCCCACAATATAGTATAATAATTCATAGT